TTTTAGAATATGCAGTTAGGAGTAATCCTCACTTCTCACATCTGGCTAGGTGTTCTGGTAATTGTAAGTAAATTTATTTACTTGGTAACTTAGAATAAATAAGTAATATATTATTTTAGGTTTAAATACATTAATAATGTAAAAATCATCTAAATATTTATCACTAATAGAATTTATATTGGTTAAATTTTTTATGTATTTTGCTATTATTATTTTTTATTTAACTAGATAAAAATTTAAAAATAAATTAAATATTTCATGATAAATAATAATGTTATTTATCTATTTAATAATATGAATTGAGTTTATAGAAAGAAGTGAGGATTCATATAGCGGATTGCGACTAAGGCTTAATTATTATTGTTGTATCTATTAAATAAATTATATAGCTGATCTTTATATATATAATTTTTTTGTAATTTTATATTCAAAAATACTTTTTTCAAAAGATTGAACAAACACAAAGCTACTCCTTTAATAATGACAAAAGCGTTTTTATTTTATCAGACACAAACTACTATTATTCTTCGTGATATTTCTCTAGAATTTAATTTTAACAAAAGCACTTACTATTAAAATTAACAACTGTTGAAAGTTTAAACAATTGTAAAAATTCGTTAAACAACTTCAGCCCCTTTCTCCTCCTCCTTCTCCTCCTTCGTCTTCTTCTTCTTCTTCTTCTTCTTCTTCTTCTTCTTCTTCTTCTTCTTCGCTGCTATGAAACTTCAGTCCATGGGATGATTGCCATAAGTATGTTTATCAGATTATTTAAAAATAAATTATAAATAATTACGTAAGTTAGTAGACATAATTTGTGAATATTTCCACGTAATTCTGTTCTTTTCACGTTTATTGTTTCCAAAATTTATGATTTAGATATTGTTGGCATTCTGATTATTTTATAGTAGTAATACACTATGAAAGAATAAGGTGACTATTTACCTAGTATGTTAGAAAGCTTTTTCAAAAACTTCAGCTTATATAGTGCTGAAGTTTTACAAATGAACTAAATAACTTCAGCATCTTCTGCTGAAGTTTTTGAAAAAGCTTTATGACAAAACTAATGAATCCAGGACAAAAAAACTTCAGTTTATATAGTGCTGAAGTTTTTACAAATGAACTAAATAACTTCGGAATCTTCTGCTGAAGTTTTTGAAAAAGTTTTGTGACAAAACTAATGAATCCAGGACAAAAAAATTTCAGCTATTTTAGTGTTGAAGTTTTTACAAATAAACTAAATAACTTCAGCATCTTATCCGGGACAAAAAAACTTCAGCGTATTGCCTTTGCTACTTCAGGCTCGTCTATTAGAATGCTGAAGTTTTGCGTGATTTCCTTTGCTACTTCAGCCCCGTATGCTGAAGTTACGCGAAAAAGTGGGTACGCTTGCAAATTTGTTTGCAAAGCAAGCACAAGTTAAAACGTGACCCAAAAAGCGGGTATAGATGCAAATCCTCCGAATCTAATCAATGGGCCAGGAATCCATAAGCGCTTATGTCTTTTCGGGCTACGTTTGCACATTCGTTTTATTTATTTGTTGCAACCCTTTTTGTCAAGCGCATGAAAGCTGTGTTGGAGAAGTGTTCTAGAAACCTCAACGAAATAGACCTGAAAATATCATCAATTACTCAAACGCGGCGAGTCAGCAATCTCAACTGCTCAATTCAAACCTAATATTTCTTTATATATATCCACTTTGAAAACGACCCATTAAATCTGACGAACTTAACCAACAAGAAAAATTAAACAACTAAACTATCATGCTTTGAATAACACGTAAAAGTCAGCTACTACAAGCTTATATAGCTCAACCTATATAGTATATGTGGTGTGTATCTGTATCCCTCACTTCTACATTCTAACATTTCTCTCAAAATTTTCTAACTTGATATACAAAAATATATTCGAATATTCATTCTTTTTCTTATAAATATTATGATAGCAATGAAAAGAAGCAGAGAAGAAGATAGGCAAGTGGAAGCAGAAGCCATGGCTAACTGCGCCTTGATGCTTTTATCTCGTTTAAACAATAACAATACGACTTCAACAGATGGAGATTATGTTGAGACTAGTGATGATTGTGGTGGTTAGGCATCATTAGTTAGTTAGATTAGATGTAACTAACTTACTAGCAGTTGGGTTAGTGTAACTGAGGTTAGCTTAGTTTAATTCTAGTTAGAATTAGAGTTGATGAATTATATATATTGTATTTGTACATATACAGTTGGTTAAGAAAGCAATAAAACAGTGCTTCTTCTTCTTCAAAATATCTCGACATTTCCTTCTCTCTCTTCCTCTGAATTCAGATCTGCAGCTTCCAATCCATGGGAAATATCCATGATAGCTGATTTCTTCATGGTATCAGAGCCAACACGACCATTAGTGTGGTCTTAGTTCCTTGCTCAATTCCGATTTCACGAAGCTCACTTGGAGGATCAACAATGGCGACCATTGACAACACTGAACCGGAGAAGCTAGGTCATAATCACCCTCTATACCTGAATTCCAACGACAATTCAGGAGCATTTTTGATTTCACTACAATTGAAAGGGCCAGAAAACTACTCTGTGTGGAGTCGAGCAATGCGGATCGCAATTCTAGGTCGAAACAAGCTGGGAATTTATCNATGAACTGAGAAGGCAAACCAGGAAGATGGATACACCCAAGAAGGAGAGAAGTTTGGCTCTTAAAATTACAGAAGGTTCAGACCTAGAAGATGATGAGATGGCTATGATCAATAGGGATTTCAAAAAGTACCTAATGAGAGAAAATGGTCCTTCAAGAAGTGAAAGCTACATCAAACCAAGGGTTCCTGAAAAACAAACCAATGAGGGGTGTTACAAGTGTGGGAAGACTGATCACCACATCAAAAACTGCCCTCAATGGAAAATTGAATGGAAGAAGGAAAGAGCTGAACGAAGGAACAGGAAGAAGGAACAGTTTCATCACAAGAAGAACAAAGGATCAACAAAGGCTATGGTTGCTGCTTGGGGTGAAAGCTCAGATGATGATTCAGAAGATGAAGATGGAGATGAACAAGCACTTATGGCAATTGGGAAATCCGATGAGGAATCTGAGGTAAGTATAATTCATCTTAAAAACAAGATTAAATTTTTGTCTAAAGAAAGTCTCGCTGAGTTACTTCTAGATTTCATTGATGAATTTGAGGTTATAAACAATGAAAAGGAACAACTTTCTAAGGAGTGTGTGATTCTGAAAGCTAAGTGCAAAAACCTGGAACTTAGGGCTAGTGAAAGTGATAGTAAAAATGCTGAGTTGAAGAACCAGGTACATTAGGTTATAAACATCACTGTTCAAAGGGTAAACATCACTTGTTTAAAGCACAACCTTTTTTCCCCTTTTGGCATCATCGAAAAGTTGCATAAAAAATGTGATATAACCAGATTTTAAAGCTTACTCATGGCCACTAGGGCTACTTCAAATGCAATCATGAATTAATCATCATAGATCAAGCTAAGAATTTTAACCATCAAAGAAATATGAACAAACAGTTAGAGCAAAAACAGTGAATTTCATTGATGATTGATAAGATTCTACCACAAAGCATAAGAAGAAATAAAAATATTGAAAACATGAGCAAAAGAAACAAAACGTCCCGAACTGGGTCATTGGTTGATCTACACTAGGCTAGGATTTAAGGCTTGGAAGAGGTAGGTGCTGGGTTATTTGTTTGGAGAAGTTTCAGCATGTCTTGAAGAATTCCATCATTCTTCTCCTTTTCCCTTGCAAGTTCAATTCTGAGAACATCTCTATCAGATTCTACCTCAACCAATCGTGTCTTCAGCCTTGCTATCTCAATATCCTTTGCCTCACTCTTCTATACCAGAGCTCTGACCTTGCTATTGATAGTATCCTTTTAGATGAACCAGGTTCATTAGGAATGTCATTGACCTTATAATCGCAAACAAGCAGAGTATTAACCCCACTTCTTCATAGGTACCTTGAAATGTGCAAGCACAGTTGTGAGAATGAAACCATAGGGAATGACATGAGTTTTGGTGCCATTGATAACCCTATCAGTAGGTCCAAGAGGGTTTCCTGTTCAGATGGAACAGGTTCATCTATATTTCTCAAGTTGAACCAACCCCTCAGTAGCTCGCCAGACCCACTTCCCCCTGTTTTGCTCACACTCTCTTCTATTTCAGTAAATTCCTCTCCCCAAACAACCATTGCATCAGTTTCTTTTGTTAGACCAATATGAGTGGGTGAAGAATCAACCACTCTTGTACCCTTTCCCCTCACAACACTCCTAGCACCCTTGCTCTCCTTTTCTTTTCCTTTTTTTTTATTTTTACCACCAACTTCTCCAGATTCTGTAGTCTCAACACCTGCTATAGATCCTACCAGTACAAATCTATTCTCCAAATTTGCAGCAACTTCAGAAATTATTTCAGGAGTAACTTTAGAAGCAGAAGATACCTGTTCAGTTTCGAAAGACCTACTTTTTTCCCCCTTAGTAGCAGACTTAAATGAATCTTCAGATTTCTAGGATTCTTCTTCCCTACCTGCTTTCAATTGCTTGTTTATTTTCTTGAACTGCTCTCCTTCAGTGACAATCTTACGAGCCATCATCTTTACTCTACTTTTCTTAGAGATTGGTATTGTAGAAGGTGTGGAAGTGGTTTCCTGTAGTGGTGATGAAGGACTTTCAGAGGTGTTCGACATATCTGGGCTAGGGTATGGAAGAGAAGAGAATTAGATTGTGTTTGGAAGATGAAAGAACAATAAGAGTTTTTGACCGCTTGAGGGAGATGAAGTAAGGAATACACTAAAGCTGATCAATATACAGGAGAATAATTGATGGGGTAACTACAGCTTTTCAGACTCTTAGAAGTTTTAATCAAACTGAAATTCAACTTTGAAGAGACATTGGAGTGTATCCCTAGAATCTAGGTACTTCCATTCGGTTGGGACTCTTTTGAATGAGACTGGTTCATTTGTAACAGATAAGTCCAAAAGGAGTTTGGTATTTGGTAGGACTCTGCTCATGATCCAAATATTGTTATTTCAAATTATGCAGAGTGTAGAAAACATACTGTGTTATCTTGATGAACCAGGTTCTTCACTGAAAATTCTCTTGTGTAAGTCTAAATTTGCCAAAATAGAGAAAATATCATTAGAGATTAATGAGTCATATTAACATATGGCACAAGAGTATACTATGGAAAGTATGAGACTGAGCAAGATTTAATCTAATTATACAATTTACTGACTTTCTAACCAAAATTTGTTTTTCAATTTTTTTTCATTTTTTTCTTTTTAACCTTGAACTGGTCCTTTTAGGTGATCTTAATCATCCCTAATTCCAACCTGTTCCTCTCAAAGTGATCTCTACCTAAGGCTTTTGTGAAGATGTCAGCAATTTGCTTGTCAGTAGCACAAAACTCCATAGTGATCAAGCCTTTCTCATAGTTGTCCCTCAAAAANCAAGAACAAAGTATGCAAGCTAAAGAAATCACTCTATGGTCTGAAGCAGACCTCAAGGCAATGTAACTTGAAATTGACAGAAGCTCTTAAAGATTTGGGCTTTGTTCAAAGTCATTTTGACTACTCCTTATTCACACAACAGGAGGGTCAGCCTTGGTGGTTATTCTAGTCTATGTAGATGACCTCCTAGTCACAGGAAATGAACCTAACCTAATTCAGTCTGCTAGGGACAATCTATAGAAGAAGTTCAAGATGAAAGACTTGGGGGAGCTCAGATTTTTCTTGGGCATAGAGTTTGCTCGCAGCAAAACTAGCATCTTGATGAACCAAAGAAAGTATGCACTAGATTTGATAGCTGATTCTGGGCTAGGGGGAGCTAAGCCAATATCCACTCCATTGGAATGCAATCAGAGACTGACCACAGCAGAATTTGATGAAGCCATACTGGTTCCTGAAGACATTGCAAAGGCAAGAGTGAAGGATGATGTATTACCTGATCTTGAACCTTATCAAAGGTTAGTAGGCAGGTTACTATACTTGACCATGACAAGGCCTGACATAGCCTATGTTGTCCAGGTTCTTAGTCAATTAATGCATAGACCTAAAAGATCACATATGAATGCTGCATTAAGGGTGATTAGGTATATCAAAAATGCACCAGGATTGGGGCTGTTGATGTCTTCACAGCAATCAGAAGGCTTGGTTGCATTTTGTGACTCAGATTGGGCTGCCTGTCCACAGTCTAGAAAATCAGTCACAGGGTATTTGGTTAAGTTTGGAGATTCCTTGATATCATGGAAGTCTAAGAAACAAAGTACAGTTTCCAGAAGTTCAGCAGAGGCAGAGTTTAGAAGCATGGCATCCACAGTGGCAGAAGTGTCATGGTTAGTAGGATTATTCAAGGATTTGGGTGTTCAGATTCAGTTGCCTGTTTGTGACAGCAAAGCAGCCATTCAAATAGCTGCAAATCCTATCTTTCATGAGAGGACAAAGCATATTGACATTGACTGTCATTTTGTACGAGAAAAATTGCAGCAAGGTCTTATCCAGACTCATCATATCAACACCAAATTGCAGCTGGCAGACATACTTACTAAAGGCTTAGGGAAAGTGCAGCACTACTCTTTACTTGGCAAGCTGGGAGTTGAAAACTTGTTCATACCCCACAACTTGAGGGGGAGTGTTGAGACCAGTGATGATTGTGGTGGTTAGGCATCATTAGTTAGTTAGATTAGATGTAACTAACTTACTAGCAGTTGGGTTAGTGTAACTGAGGTTAGCTTAGTTTAACTCTAGTTAGAATTAGAGTTGATGAATATATATATTGTATTTGTACATATAATGTTGGTTAAGAAAGCAATAAAACAATGCTTCTTCTTCTTCAAAATATCTCGACATTTCCTTCTCTCTCTTCCTCTGAATTCAGATCTACAGCTTCCAATCCATGGGAAATATCCATGGTAGCTGATTTCTTCAGATTGTTACCATGGTTTCGAATGTAAGACTTGCAATAAACGCTTCCCATCTTTCCAAGCTCTTGGCGGCCACCGTGCAAGTCATAAACGGCCAAGATTACTCGCCGGAGCCGGAGAGTTTCTTATGCAAGCCAAAAAGAATAAAATGCATGAATGTTCTATTTGTGGTATGGAGTTTTCTTTGGGTCAAGCTTTAGGTGGACACATGAGACGTCATCAGAAAACGCCGTCGTTGGTTGCCGGAAAGACAATGACACCGATGTTGAAGAAGTCAAATAGCAGCAAGAGAATTTTCTGCGGCTTGGACTTGAACTTATCCCCTGATGAAAATGTTGAGTTGAAGTTATGGCCAACGACACCGGTTTCATCTCCTGTTTTGCGATGTTTTATTTAGGAGAAGCTTCATGCATTTATTTTCTTGTAAAGTTCCTCAATTCAGTTTTTTCTTTTACGTACTTATGTTGAATGTATATATACCACGTAGGGTTTGTAGGTATTTTCAAATCATGTGTTTGATTTTATCTTGAATGGTACTGGTTTAATCAGAAAATGTTGAGCAATACGTGTATTGGAACTGGTAATTACAATGATATATAGAACTTTTTTTTTTCTAACAGGGGAAACCCGCGGCCGCTACAACTTCTGCCACAGCCTCCGCCCTTCAAGTAAACACTCTGTAAGCGCTGGGTAATATAAACCTCCCTCGACCCTGTGTAATAGCCTGCAAACCATACAGGGGGTATAATCGCACTAGGCAAGCCTTGTGCGACAAGCGCAACCCAGAAGGCATTGAGGGGGGGGGATTCGATCCCAAGTCATCCATATGGATGACCTATTAAATTTGTGGAACGAAACAACATTTAGAAGAGAAAGTTAGGGAAGAAAACAATTCTTCATTTCTGTTATATGACAACTATACAGTAGCATGTTCTCTTTTATACAAGTATAACCACTCTAACTAACTTCTAACTATAGTTGGCTAAACTATGGTTAAGTTAAGTTACACAACTAACCACATCACTTATACTACTACTACTACTACTCTCAACACCCCCCTCAAGCTAGAGGAGGTGAAGATGTTCTTCATCCCTAGCTTGGATAATAAGTAGCCATGCTGCATTCTGCTTAAGCCTTTAGTGAGAATATCAGCTTGTTGATCAGTAGTATTAACATAGATAGTATGAATCAATCCTGACTGAATCTTTTCACGCACAAAATGACAATCGATGTCTATGTGTTTATTCCGTTCGTGAAAAACTAGATTGGCAGCAATCTGAATTGCTGACTTGCTATCACTATAAATAGGAACTGGATCTTGTTGAACAACCCCTAACTCTTCAAACAGACCAACAAGCCAAACAATCTCAGCCACAGTCGAAGCAAGACTCATGTACTCTGTCTTAGCAGAACTTCTGGAAATTGTTGATTGTTTCTTGGATTTCCATGAAATGAGGAAATCACCAAACTTCACTAAATATCCTGTTATAGATCTTCTGTTGTTGGGACATGCTGCCCAATCAGCATCACAGAAGGATGTTAGAGATCCAGAATATTCAACTTTCATCAACACCCCTAGACCAAGACGGTGTTTAACATACCTCACAACTCTGAGGGCAACTTCCATGTGAGATTATTTGGGACTGTGCATGAATTGACTAAGGTTTGAACTGCAAATAAGATGTCAGGTCTAGTGATTGTAAAGTACAGTAACTTTCCAAGTAACCTTTTATATGGCCCAGGATCCTCTAATAGAGTATCATCAGTTGTAGGACGTGTGTGTATCAAACTCTAGTGTGGTCAACTTGGCATTCAACTTCAAGGGTGAAGTGACAGGTTTACAACCTGATAGGCCTAAATCAGCTATTAACTCCAAGCTATATTTCCTCTGATGCATCAAGATACCCTTTTTACTTCTGGAAAAGTTAATTCCTAGAAAATATTTTAGCTCTCCCAAATCTTTAATCTTGAAGCTATCTTGCAACAGTGATTTGGTCTCTTGTATTAGCTATAGATTATCTCCAGTGATAATGAGGTCATCTACATATACAAGGACCACTACCAACTGCCCTTAAGTTCTTTTGGTGAACAAGGAGTAATCTAGGTGACTCTGTTGGAATCCTGAGGCAAGGAGTGTTGTAGTAAGTTTGATATTTCATTGTCGAGATGCCTTCTTAAGCCCATAGAGAGACTTATGCAATTTGCATACCAAAGACTTGTTGTTAGAGCCTACAAAGCCAGGTGGAATGCACATGAACACTTCTTCAGTTAAATCACCTTGTAGAAAAGCATTGTAAACATCCATTTGGTGTATGGTCCAATGATTGGCAGCAGCTAAAGTGATTACACTTGTGACAGTTACCATCTTCACTACTGGTGAGAATGTTTCTTGGTAATCCAATACTTCCTTCTGATTGTACCCTTTGGCCATAAGTCGTGCCTTGAACCTTTCAATCTCTCCAGTTGCCTTGTACTTAATCTCATACACCCATTTACATCCTATAGCTTTTTCCCCTTGGGATAATGGTACTATCTCCTAAGTTTTGTTATCTTCCAATGCTTTTATTTCTGCTTGCATAGCCTCGATCCATCTTTTATCTTTTGCAGCCTCATAGTAACTATTGGGTTCTTGTTCAGATGAGATCTGAGATAAATAACTTTGATATTTGGGATACAAGTGATCATAGCCTATGACAGCAGCTAATGGATATCTGCAACTATTGGTTTGTACAACTTTGCCAGCTCTGACATAATCCTTAAGCCAAATGGGAGGTCTAGAAATCCTGCTTGATCTTCTAACATCATCAACAGGTGGTGCATGTAACTCAGGAGCTGTAGTTGATACAGGAATTGGAAGAGACTTTGAATGCATCTGGTCTGAATTAAGTATTGGTGAATTCTTTGAAGAAGAGGCAATGGATGAATCTGAGAATGATTCAGCAGCAGGAGCTGGTGCAGAAGGAATATAATTCTCATGATCTACATTATTATGATCATGGCATGCTCTCATATCCAGATTATCCAGAAAAGATTGATTGGTCCCCACTTTTGGATTCTGAAAAGGGAATGCTTCTTCAAAAAAGGTTACATCTCTGCTGATAAAAAATACATTGTGCTCAAGATCAAGTATCTTGTATCCTTTCTGAAGTGCTGCATATCCCAATAACACACACTTCACAGCTCGAGGGCCAAACTTATCAGTTTTAGGTAGTAGGGAAGCAAAACAAAAGCATCTTATGATCCTTAGATGAGATAGGGAAGGTTGTTTGTGATACAACAGCTCAAAGGGTGATTTATTGCCAAGAACAGTGGAGGGTACTCTATTGATAAGATATACAGCTGTCTCAATACAATCTCCCCAAATTCTAGCTGGTAGATGGCCTTGTAGTCTGATAGCCCTTGCAATTTCTAAAATATATTTGTGTCTTCTCTCTACTACCCCATTCTATTGGGGTGTGTAAGGACATGAACTTTGATGTAAGATTCCATGTAACTGAAGCAGTTCTCTACAATGAGTATTGAAAAATTCACTTCCATTATCTGACCTAAACATCTTGACAGACTTGCCAAATTGAGTTTTAGTCATAGTAAGGAAGTTTTTAAGGATGAAAACTACATCAAATTTCAGTCTCAATAGAAAAGTCCAAATCCATCTAGTGTAATCATCAACTAATCTAAGAAAAAGCTTTATTCCATTATAGTTAGCAACCATGTAGGGTCCCCAAACATCCATGTGAATTAGTTGAAAAACTTCAAACACTTCTAGTAGTACTTAGTGAAAATGGCATTCTAGTTTGCCTTGCCAAGGGGCAAATCTCACACCTATGAGCATTATTAAAGTCTATATTATTTCTGAAACATTGCAATTTACTAAGAACTGGTAGAGGAACATGACCAATTCTCTTGTGCCATATATCTGGATCTCCTTGTTTGATAACTGCAAAGGCTTTGCAAGTATGCAACCTATTGTGTGACTCTACTGAGGTCATGGTGTACAACCCATCTTCCTTCCTACCAATCTCCTTCACCCTCCCAGACAAGAGATCCTGAAATACACAAAATGTAGGAAAGAAGGAAGCAAAACAGTTCAGGTCTTTTGTCACCTTGGAGATAGACAAAAGATTGAACTTGAAGGCAGGAACACACAGAACATTCTTAATAATGTCACCTCCTGACAATTGACGATCCCCTATGTGAGTAATTTTGGCAGAATCCCCTGTTGGTAGCTGACTTGACCTGCATTTTCTATTTGTGTTCCATGGTGAAACAAACCTGTGTCCACAATCCACTTAGGAATGCTAATATTGTTGTAAAGAAAAGTATTTGCCATTGCTTCCACAGTTCCACTTGATTCACCAATTGAGCTTTTGTTCAATAGTTGTAGGATCTGAGAATATTATTCATTTATGAACATGTGAGTTGGAACTCCTTTATTTGCTTTCTGTGAGACATTGCTTTCTATCTACGCTGCATTAGCTCTTCTCTTAGGCTTAAAATCAGATGGATGTAAGTAGAGTGGGTGATTATGGTCGAGAATGAAGTTCTCGCTATTCACAGTTCCAGTCGGTGCTACTGCTGCGGTGGTGCTATCGTCGGAATTGTCACCGATCGCCATGGAAAATTGCATAAATCCACTCACAATTACACAATTGAAGCAAAATTAGGGTTCCGATCACAAAATCGTTGTTCCCGAATTTGAAAGAAATTGAAGAAATTGAGGAAAAATTGAAGCTGATTCCCTCGATTTGCTTCGACTCTGCAAAGAAATTCCTAGAATCGCTTAGTAATCAGCTCTGATACCATGTTATATTTGTGGAACGAAACAAAATTTAGAAGCTAAGAATAGAGGAGAGAAAGTTTAGGAAGAAAACAATTCTTCATTTCTGTTATATGACAACTGTACAGTAGCATGTTCTCTTTTATACAAGTATAACCACTCTAACTAACTTCTAACTATAGTTGGCTAAACTATGATTAAGTTAAGTTATGCCACTAACTACATCAGTTATACTACTACTACTACTCTCAACATGACCACCCTCCAGACCAACTGGGCAACCTCGAAGGGTTGATATATAGAACTTTCTAAAAGTATTATATTGATAATACAACTCAGGGTGAACCACACCCCAAAATTAGCTATTAAGGTGGGAGAGTTGAAAGCTGTATAAAGCCACATCAGTACATTGCAAACCGATGTAGGACTCCAGTCCCATACCTTAAAATGCACCATAACATTTGAATCTTAATTAAGTTGTGCCTATTAATCCAAACTAAAAGAGATATTATTACGATGGAACAGAAATCTATTATTAACAATATTAGGAAAAAGACGACGACAACAACAACAACAACCCAGTATAATCCCACTAGTGAGGTCTGGGGAGGATAGTGTGT